AAGTGGAATACCTAGATATTTCCATTTGGATCAGGCTGAAATGCCTTTCGCAAAAAATACTCCATGGCGCGTGGAACTCCTTGTCCATTTACTTTTAATATTTAGAAACACCATGATCGTAAACCAAAATTTACTTATGCAAGCTTTAGAACAAGCCAATGCACGCCTTTCAAGAAATGCACAACAAAGTTCCACTGTTACTTCACCATTATGTACTTAATTTTATTCCTGATTCCTGTATTTTTATCTTATATTTTTATCCTGTATATTTACCGTATATATGTATTTTTTATTAATAAAGATTTTGATTAACGTACAACATATCATGTGTTATTTTTTGTATAATGTATATATGATCGAGAATTTTTCTGAAATAATTTTCTTGGCAAAAGTGATCGGCATTCCGAAAAAGAATGCGCACGTGATTTCTCAAACTTTTGAACATATCTGCATTTTGTATAAAAAATGGCAAACTCGCAATCCAAAATTGATTTGCTTAAAGACCAGAATTCCAAACTTGTAGCTGAGATTGATGAGCTTAGAAAGAAATGTGCTAAGGTCGAGGCTGAAAACGTGAAGTTAAGACAGGTTATAGAAGAGAGCATTGAGCTTAAAACCAGGTTTGAAGAGTTGGAGAAAAAAAATAAAACAGATACTGCCAAGCTCACTGCTGAAAATACTGAGCTTAAAGATAGAGTCACAAAATTGGAACAAAAGCGGTCCGAGACTTGTCTAGAATTGCCAATTGATCCTCAACCCCAGGGGAGCGATTCTGAAATATCATCCATTCCACCATCTACCAAAGAACACTCTATTGATTCCGTATCTTTAGAGAAGAATTCTGGCAATAATCCTGAAAAGATAGAAAACATATCCGATAACACATCTAGTCACGAAGTTACTGCCTCTAGCAATTCTGACGTGAGCCTATCTTTAATTGATATATGTCAAAAAGAGGTAAAGCCTCGAGACTATGTCTCATCGGGAATCTCCACATCTCATATCTCTGCAGAACCTAAATCACTAGAAGAAAAAGAGATTAACGATTTCTTATATAAGAAAAATAAGGAAAGTATTAGTAATATGATAAGAGAAAGGAACCGAGAAAAGAAGATTCAAGCTCAAGTTTCACACAATGCTTCTTCGATGCCAGCTGATTCTCTTTGCAATAAGATTTTGGATACTGAGGCAGAGGAAGAACCATGTGGTCCAGAAAAATGGTCCCAACCAAAATTACATGACACGAAAACTGTGACAAATTTGTCACGATCAGACAATGTATCTTCTATAATATCTGAATTAGAGCGAGATAATGAAATTGATGAGGTTGATACCAGTCAAATCATAGAACAAGGACTAATGCAAGAATTGTCTCAGAATACTTCTGACGTTGAAATTAATGAATCATATATTCAAAACTTGGATAACTCGACTGAAGGTTCAGCATGAAGTTTATCATATTTGTTTGATAAAGCGGTTGTAAAGGGTCAAGAAGAAATTTTATGCTGGTATTATTATTCCCTTGAGTTTGAAAATAGAGTTAAAAGCCTTATAACCGATGAAAATATTAAGGATAAAACTGCAAGAACAAAATTATATAAGGAAATGAAACCTTTTCTATCCAATATTACAGATTCAAATTTACGTAAAAAAACTCAGAGAGCTCGGAAAATTCTTAAACTGTTTGGAGAAGGGGGATAGGTATAGCTAAAATTAAACAGGTTACATATGGTGCAAGTACTATTTCAGGATTAACTAATGCACAAATTCAAAATATTATAGATCATGTAAACTTAAAAACCGTGACAAATTTGTCACGATCAGACAATGTATCTCCAAAAATTAAGGTAAGTGATCTAACTAAATCACTAATCTCCAATTCTTCCGATTCGAAAGCACCACCTATCTCTAAACCCAAGGAGGATTTAGCAGAAACCAAGAAGATCTTATCTGAAAAACAAGATAATACAACCCATACCTGTGCGAATTTCCATAACAAAATATTGGAGCAATATCCTGACCTATATTATGAATTCAGTGATAAAAATATCGATTATTACGGAATTACTGACGAGGCATTATGCCAAATATGCAAATTAGATCATGATTAAGAGAAAAGTATAGAAGGTAAATATGAAACTGGATTATACTATATTAAATGTAAACAGCGCGAAATTCAAATAATTGCATAAACTCCCGTCAATTCATTACTCTCATTATCGGTGGAGTGTACACTCAGAGAGACGCATTAAAAAAACTTGTCAACTATACACATCTAGACACAAACTAGTAGATGGAAATGAAATAATATTTTTTAGTATGTAATACTTAATGCGAGAAATTAAATTGCTTTGAAATTATATAAATGACAACATGGATACACAAGCCAAATCCGATAAAGTATTAACCCCCGAATATTTGGATTGATATTCCGAATTAACTGATTTGCCAACCACTATAACTGATAAATTTCGTTCCAAGTTATATAAAATATATAAGAAAAAAACCGGACTTGATCCCTGGATAATGTCTGAGACTCACGAACCTCCACAAATCGAAAAGACTGATAATTACCTTTCACAGGACTGTGTTATCAAAATTTCTAAATTTCCAGAAGAGAAAGACTTAATTATTAAAACAGTACATAAACGCTTCCCTTTCTTGACATATACCAATTCGAATGCATGGCACCGAGATGTTTTTAAATATACCGATTCGGAAGCTAAATGCCCAATATGCAAAGAGATACATACACGATATTGTATATGGGGTGATTGGAGCGATCTAGGTAAAGATGATCATTATTATCTCAATTGTTCATTTCGTATCGATCAGAAGAAAGTTATAATCGCGATACAGAGCTTACCGGAAATTCAAGTAAGTGTACAAAACAAAATCCAAGAGGTAAAGCCTAAGAAGTTTTTGTCCATTACAGAGGCTGAGAAAAAAAGATGGACCATGGGATGCTTCCGTGCCAACTTGGAGAGAGATATACGCCTTTATCGTGGGGGAATAAAAAGAAATGAAGATACCAGAAAATATTGCAAATTTTTAACAGATCGGGAAAGGCTAGTTGGTGAAGAATTATTACGTTGCGGTATACTAAAAAGCGGATTAAGTACTGCATGGTTGGATGATCTTATGAAAAAATGGGAAGAAATCCACACTCAATTCGTACAAATTTTTGGCCATACCTTCGTCCCTTTTGAGGAAAAGACTTTATTTGTACCGCGAGTAAATGTTCAATCTACACCATCAAAACGACAATTCCCAATTTCTGTTCTACCTAAAGACCCGGAAGAAAGACAACAACACGTTATTAAAATGGTAATAGAGCGATTTCCCGATTTAACTTTGAAACATAGCTTTAGAAATGATTACTTTGAATTTAATAGATCAGTACCCTGCCCTTTATGTAATAAAAACCATAAA